ATATATATATATATCACTTTTTAGTAATATTTTGAATGAGTTTTTATTTTTATATTTTCCATTTTCATTTTAGTTAAAGTTTTAGTAATTTTGTAGTGTGTTTTTCTCATTTTTTACTAGCTGAAATAAAAATCTGTTTAATTTTTAAACATTTTATTTCAGTTAATGTTTATTTTATTTCAAGTAATGACATTTTTTTTTTTATGGCTTTAATTTTAGTTTCAGTGAACTATAATAACCCTGACATAAATATACATAGTCACAGATTATTTCACAGACATAAATATATGTCTGTTAAATGATCTGCACTTATTACTTTCAGACAGAACAGAAAATTTACAACTCTTTTTATTATTTTTGTTTTATTATATTATTGATTTTATTTTTTATTTATAAGCCACCAAACAAAACAAATACACACACACACTCTTAGCCAAAATAAAATGATAGTCAAAAGTCTGATAATGAGACTAGATGGATGAATCTCATTTTAAAACCAGAGTTATACATGAACACAGAAAACTGATTATGCGACTAAATACTAAAATTAACCCGAGTGTGGGAGAGACGCGCGACTGAGGAAACCACAGCAGGATCAGCACATATTATGAGACGACTGACTTTCACTACAGTTCAGCTCCGACAGGAAGATGATGTCACAGACGAACCCACTCTCTCCACGGCAACGGCACTGCCATGGTGACGGACAGCGAGAGCCGAAGCTCCTGATGCAGCAAGGCTTCAGATCACTGCAACAAAAGCCAATGCTGAAAGACCGTGAACGCAAATTTAGTTCCTGTGATGACGTATTTGTTTGGGACGGGCCTACTGTACAACATACTGTGTCAATGGACAATATATGCATGCTATTTCCAAAGCACTCTGCTTCAGTTTTGTATTATTTATACTATTATAGTATTTATAACTATTTTTAATTAGTTTTTACTTCTATATTTGAACATTTTAGCTTTACGTAATTTTATGTAATTAATTTTGTGCTCTTGTCATTTTTATCCATTAAAAAAAATCTATATAGCTTTCTTTTTCATTTAGTTTTGGTAATTTTAGAACCTCAAATCAGGGGCTTTCACGCTGGCACTTTTGGTGCGCACCCGGGTTCGTTTGACGTCAGAGTTCGGTTAGTTTGGATGATGTGAACGCTGCTTTCTGAACTCGGGTGCGCACATGTGAACCGTAATCGAGTCTGCCTAAAAAGGGTGGTCTGGGGTGCAGTGGGAGGGGAGCAATCGAACTCGGGTTCGGACCAGGCAATCGAAAGTGTGAAAGCATCCTTAAACTTTAGTTCATTTAGTTGCCAAGGCAACATTTCTCACTTTCTTTCTTGGTTTCATTTTGTTTTTCATCTAATATTTCAGTTACCGAATAAGTCATTGAAATATTTTCAGTTACCAAAAACGACTTCTAAATAGCTTCTATAAGTTATTTTTATTTATGTTTTAGTAATTTTAGTACCTTAACTTACTTATTTTATTTAGTTGCCGAGGCAACATTTCTAACGTTAGTTTTTTTTTTGGTGTTTTTTCATCTAATATTTATATTTTCTTTTATTTCAACTTAATATCATTAAACAAAAATGACTTTTTTAACAAAACGAAATGAGTTTTTTTTATTTCATTTTTAGTAATTTTAGAACCTCAACTTACACTTCTTTTTTTAGTTGTCAAGGCAACATTTCTAATTGCTTTTTGTAAATTTAGTTTGTTTTTCATCTAATATTTATCACAGAGACAGAACAACACCACTGTAGCGTCTGGACCAATCAGACACACCATTTTTCATTTGATTTAACAAATCAATTATTCATTAGATTAACAAACATTCACAGACCCCTCACCCAATAAACATACTGGGTGCCAAGTTGTCTGTGAACGAGGCCCAGGACCCTGGTTACCATGGCAACCCTGACACCAGATACATTTACGACCTAATGGAATGCGAAGCAGGGAAAATCACTGCATGTTCCATAGCAAGAGGCAAATGCACAGTAGAAATGGACTTTTCTACTAATTAATTCATAGGAAAACCTTTCTTTGAATGAACACACATATCCTTCAGGTCATTGTGTATATTATTGCGGTCTTGTATATTATCTGTTGTATTGTAGACTATTTTATGCATGCTTATGATAGAACCACTCATTCATGTAACCTTACTCAATTTATATATTGTTATTCCTTATTTACTTGTTCTATTTTTTATTGGTTTTTTTTTTCTTCTTTTATTATCTGTGTTTTTGTTCTGTCGCTGTCATTGTTGCACTGCGGAAGTTTCTGCCATGAAAACAAATTCCTTGTATGTGAAAACATATAAATATTTATATAACATATAAAGCTCATTCTGATTCGGATTCTTCTGATTTATATTTTATTTCAGCTTTACTTCAGTTAACAAAAATGACATCTATATAGCTTCTGTAAGTTTTTTTTTTGTTTTTCATCTAATATTTATATTTTATTTTGTTTCAGCTTAATATCAATAAACAAAAATGACTTCTTTATAGATTGTACAAGTTATTTTAATTTCATTTTAGTCATTGTAGAATATATATATATATATATAAGCAATTTTTGTACCTCAACTTAAACTTATTTCATTTAGTTGCCAAGGCCACATATTATTAACAATATCATTCTATAATAATAACAATATAATATACAACAATATATAAAAAAAAAAAAGTGTTTGTTTTTCATCTATTTTATTTTGGTTTTAGTTTTAGTCATTTTAAGGCAACATTTTAAATTTTTGTTTTATATTTTGATTGGGTTTGTTTGTTTGTTTTTGGGGGGGTTAGTTTTTCCATCCAATATTTATTTTATTTCATTTGATATTATTATCTACATTGATTTTTAATAGTTTTAGTTTTAGTTAACAATAACAACACTGATAACAACACCCCTTTACCATGGTAAATTCACTGCCATGCATCGCCTCAGATAGTTGATTGCTTTACTAAATCTAATGCATGATAATGGTGTCATTACAGCAGATGCGGAGTGCATCGCCACAGTGATTTGCTGTAAGAGAGCGAGTGACATTCACTCCAGTCCCATTAGAGCACTGATATTAGCACCTTCATCGCCTGCCATCAGGACCAGCAGGAGCAGCGGGCAGGAGTTTCCTCTCAAACGCAGATCAAAGGCAGATTAACCAGGGCTAAACGCCCTTTAGCATGTGTGTGTGTGTGTGTGTGTGTTCAGAGAGCTTGCAGAACGATCAAAGTCTCTCCATGACCACTAGCATGAAACCCAAGCCAGCAGCTGTGCCGTGTGCCAATGCAGTTATGAGCTGCACTGACCCGTTTACTTTATACACATTAGATGCATAAAAACTACCTTTTTACAATTCAATCAATTCTTTGTATACATAGATTTTTTTTTTTTTGTTGAATATCCTGTTTTTACTTTGAAATGCATCACATTAGGGAAGTAAAATGGTTTGACATAAATCAGTGTTCTTTTAGTATTATTGATATATTATTGAAGTATTTATTCATATTTTGAATATGCTTTTTTATCATATGTATCTAATTACATGCGGAAGTTTCTGCCATGAAAACAAATTCCTTGTATGTGAAAACATATAAATATTTATATAACATATAAAGCTCATTCTGATTCGGATTCTTCTGATTTATATTTTATTTCAGCTTTACTTCAGTTAACAAAAATGACATCTATATAGCTTCTGTAAGTTTTTTTTTTGTTTTTCCATCTAATATTTATATTTTATTTTGTTTCAGCTTAATATCAATAAACAAAAATGACTTCTTTATAGATTGTACAAGTTATTTTAATTTCATTTTAGTCATTGTAGAATATATATATATATATATAAGCAATTTTTGTACCTCAACTTAAACTTATTTCATTTAGTTGCCAAGGCCACATATTATTAACAATATCATTCTATAATAATAACAATATAATATACAACAATATATTTAAAAAAAAAAGTGTTTGTTTTTCATCTATTTTATTTTGGTTTTAGTTTTAGTCATTTTAAGGCAACATTTAAAATTTTTGTTTTATATTTTGATTGGGTTTGTTTGTTTTTGGGGGGGTTAGTTTTTCCATCCAATATTTATTTTATTTCATTTGATATTATTATCTACATTGATTTTTAATAGTTTTAGTTTTAGTTAACAATAACAACACTGATAACAACACCCCTTTACCATGGTAAATTCACTGCCATGCATCGCCTCAGATAGTTGATTGCTTTACTAAATCTAATGCATGATAATGGTGTCATTACAGCAGATGCGGAGTGCAACGCCACAGTGATTTGCTGTAAGAGAGCGAGTGACATTCACTCCAGTCCCATTAGAGCACTGATATTAGCACCTTCATCGCCTGCCATCAGGACCAGCAGGAGCAGCGGGCAGGAGTTTCCTCTCAAACGCAGATCAAAGGCAGATTAACCAGGGCTAAACGCCCTTTAGCATGTGTGTGTGTGTGTGTGTTCAGAGAGCTTGCAGAACGATCAAAGTCTCTCCATGACCACTAGCATGAAACCCAAGCCAGCAGCTGTGCCGTGTGCCAATGCGGTTATGAGCTACAGATATGTGTGTGTGTGTGTGTGTGTATGTGTGTTTGAGTGTGTGTGTGTGTATTTGAGTGTGTGTGTGTGTGTGTGTGTGTGCTTGTGTTTGAGTGTGTGTGTGTGTGTATGTGTGTGTGTTTGAGTGTGTGTGTGTGTGTATGTGTGTGTGTTTGAGTGTGTGTGTGTGTGTATGTGTGTGTGTTTGAGTGTGTGTGTGTGTGTGTTTGAGTGTGTGTGTGTTTGTGTGTGTGTGTGTGTGTGTGTTTGAGTGTGTGTTTGTGTGTGCG